CAATCCCTCTATTTTTCCTCTCGTCTCCGCCCCTTTTTGCCATTTTCCCGCGCGTTCAATCTTAGTCCGGGAAACAATAAAACGAAGGAAAATAGAGGGATTGCTCGCAGTCTAGTCAATCACTAGTACTACAGAATAAACCCTGACAATATTATTCTTAATAATTATGAAACATTCACTGCTTTCGAATAAATAAACGCATGATTCTTTATAAAACATAGTGTTTGTAGTTATTTTGCTCTAAGTCTGTATTGATATTGACTTAATTAATAGAGGGTACGGGGGGCTAAATAGAAGATGGGGACATTTTTTAGCGCTTCTGGAGTGGAATGGTACAACAGTTTTCCTTTGATGAGTAAAAGGTTGTATTATAACCTGCGATGCAGACTCTGTAATTGTAGTATTATACCAAATATCTATAGTCTTAGTGTGCATTGAGGTACATTGCGCACTAATGCGCCCTACTTCTAGCCTGTTTTTTCATTCTGCCCAACGCCAAATGATCTTACTCATCAAGGGGAGAGCGTTGGCGCTCAATGGATTGGTTAATCAGACTACATCTGTCCACATGTCTAGTTAATCCACTAAGCTGCATTGCACCTTAACGTGCCCTACTTCATTATTATTATCTGTCTATTAAACACCAGCTAGGGGCCAGTTGTTCAAAGCTGGATTAGTGCTAAGCCTGGGTTTATAGTTAACCTGCTGTTTTAGCTTACAGTATATGTATTTCTGCACATCTATTTGTTTCAAAACTTCAGAGAGGAAAACTCATTGATCCAGACAAGATTTCTGAAGTTTTGGGGAAGTTTGTTGGGAAGAAGCTGTTGGGAAGTTTGCTTTGAATTTCAGGATAACCTAGGGTAATTAAGCTGACCGGCTTTTCAACAACCGGCCCCAGATGATTTTACTAGCGACCAAAAGCATGCAGGACGGGAATTAATTAACGCGACGGTGACGGCAAACAAACTCGTTAAACCAAATGATTGCAGAAGAAAACCTGTCATCTATTACCTATCGTATGAAAATAATACAGTTTAAGGATCAAAATTAACACTAGGTTTATGATTTAGAAACGTTCTAGGACGCAACTTAAAATAGCAGTGCTCCCACCTTGAAATGTAAGCGTTGCATGTATACAAGACGTGCATGATAATCTGTATTTCGCCGTTGTAAAACAGAGTTACGGCGACGTCCGTGAGATTTCAATTATTAATTTCTGCTCATTTTCTTGCATTAATATGATATTATTAGCTGTTCTCGTTGCACTTTTCTTCTGCTTTGTTGAAGTTCTTAATAACGGTAGTTCTTTATAATTATAAAAGTGTAAAATTTAAGGCGGTTTCTTGACACGCCCCGTACTAGATTAAGCTTTGCTTAAGTTCGCTACTGTACTCGTCAAGGGGAAGTACCGTACTGGCGCTCAATGGGTTAAGAATGTCAATGGCAGTCTGGTGAATGTACTACAGTAATCCAGTGATAAATCCCCCCGCACACTATTTGGTCATTCGTAACTGCACCCAATCATACACTTTCAAGACAGGTGCACTTGGCCACGCACTATATGGTAAAATTGCATGATTGTACATCTAAAGCCAAAAGATGGAGGTACAGTACTACAGTACTCAGTAGTTCGAGTAGTAGTAGTTCAACCTTCTGTAGTGCTCGCACATTTCAAATCTAAATTTAATTCATCTTCAGCAGTAAAGATGAATCAAATTTAGACTTTGAGGCTACCGGTGCAAGCCAGGTACCCGAAATTCAATCTCGCATGTGCAATGTGCATTTCTCCAACTTTCCAATCTGGGGCACTAAGTATATACAGTAATGCTATATATATACACTACGTCATTACAGTTAACATTTCTATAGCGGAAATTTACATGCGGATACGATCAAATACGCTTTAAATCAAGTACTACGCTTGCCTAATTACATACCTAATTACATACTGGGGGGTGGCACCGAAGAGAAATGTTTTTTGTGGCAAAAATTTTGCTGACCCAAACATTAAAAAGGCAAAAATTTGATTACCCAACCTCAAATATCAATTAAAAAATAAATACCCACCCCTGGCCAAAAACTTTACAAATTGAAAACCATTCAGTTGTCACACGTGTCCTTTACCATTTTTGTGACATGAATTTGATAACGGCTTGTGAAATTTTCTAAAGTTTCATGTTGTCTGCAACAAATCGGACTGAAATGATCAAGATAGTGACTCTGATTGATTCACATATTGTATTGACATATCACTGTTGACATTGCTTTTCAGTCTCCAATATTTCAGTGAGTCGTGCTTTGGAAATGACAATAAATTTTTTGATTACCCAACCCTTGAGTTGTTTTGTTTTTCATTTACCCAACCTTTTACTCACTCAAAATGTTGTTTATCCAACCCTTTTCTCTTCGGTGCCACCCCCTGCCATAAATAATGACCGCTCCCTTAGCCTAGACTACTTTACTTTTACAACAATGGTGATATTTATTACTTTCTCAAATTCATTAATAATTCATGAGCAATTCAGCCAATGATAATCACCTATTTGATCACAAGATGCCATTTGGATAACCCGGTGAAACTTGATGAAAGTCACTAGTGTTTAAGTTTTCATCATGAATATCTTAATTACGCATGGAAAATTACTTGAATAGAATTCCTACCTACGTTACGCTTGGTTAAGAATTCTATTCAAATCAGCAAACGAAAACATTCTGTTTCGTCTCGATTCATTTGAGAAGCCATATAAACATTGTTTTCATACATTGTTTTCTCGTGTTTGGATATCCCGGTGAAACACTCGCTCTCGTTGTTCATACATTACTTCTTAACTGTGTTTATGATCCTAACCCACCCTGTCAACTGTTACTGTGGGAGGAAACCAGAGCACACGGAGAAAACGCATTATTTCAGCAGAGTGTTGACGGACTCTTTTCACATGAGTCCATAGCAAGAATCGAACTTAGAGGTGAAAGACACTTGCCACCAACACAGCATTTGGATGCATTCCATTTTTATCTGGATATAGATGATGAATCAATTATCTGAGACAGCCGCACATTGAGAAGGATACAACGACAGCAGAGATACAACTTCTCGAAAAAAGAGCCTTTGCTCGAAACGTCAAAGTCCCGCTTGTATTTTGTATTGTAGTTGTATCTTCTTTATTCAATTACCACTTAAACCTTTTAGATCAAATATACAACCCAGACAATCCTAGAACATTTAAGTCAGTATGCGTCAAATGCCACTCAACTCGGTCTCTTGATAGCTTATTAGTGAGGACATGTTGTTGACATTTTAGCATAATTTGTTTTAATGTTATATATTGTAACTTATATATTGTAAGGGACCCCATAATTGGAGATTATCTCTGTGGCTAGTCCCTGCCCGAATTGTATGTAAATTTTGTAAAGTATTAGTCTTATTTATGTCTGTTATGTTTGGCAAATCTTGTAAAATAAAATAAAATAATCCACAGCTGTCTTGTTACCGTCGCTACCTACACTGACACAGATTGAATCAATTATCTGTTGTACTGTAGTGTAGTTGTACAATTACTAGCTGTAGCTGTGTCCTTTCATCTATGGATTATGCATGCATGTGGGCAACCATACTAACCTGCAGCAACAATGAAATTTCAAAAGAATCAATAACAATCAATTAAATTGGCCTACGTTTTCAGGGTTCTACCCAGGACCAAGCTATTGTCAGTTACCTGCAGCTCTGAGGGCAGCTAGGCTCCTTCCCCCCCCCCCCCCCC